AAATTTTATATAAGTATAACATGTAAAACTTATATATAAATAAATTTCTCTTCAAAATAAAAAATATTAAAAAGTTCATGAATAATGAATTAATAGACAAAGAGATAATTTACATATAATTGTAGGGAACTCGTTTTCGCTAAGCTATGGAGCTTATAATGCTTAATATTTCATAAAAATTTGAAATGACTTATCCAGCCATTGCAGTTATATTATTTGAAATTGATATAATTATAATGCGTTGTTCCCCGAACACTCTACTCCATATCTATATCATGTTATTGTTGTGTCTCGGTCACAATATCAAATAAAATAATAATTAGTGAACTTATTGAGAAATAATGATAAGAAAATATAATTGAAATAAGCGTGAAAAACTTATTTACTTTAAAGTGATTCATGCTTCTATGGAAAATAGATCAACCGGTGCAGTAGAGATATATTTAGCATGCCACCCCTAAAATACTACAGTTTTATATTTACACTTTATGAATCTGCACTATTTATAGAAATCACCACACTCAAAACATTCTTTTTTGCCCAAGGATATTTAGAAGATAAAGTAAGATAAAAAAAATAATGTGGAGGAACATTCTTCTTTATGTTTTTAAGCAAAAACACATGTCATATATATACACTCATGATCATATAACTCTCATTTGTAGGTTAATGATAGAAATAAATTGAGTAATTATTATGAAATAATGTGCTCTTAAGAAGAATAATTAATCTATAATGGTTAGTTTGACTAAGTTTTTAATGTGACAATAAATTTAATTTATAAAAGATATTATTTTATTTTTTATGAAAATATCTAAATTCCAACATAATGTAAGGTAATATTGTATATGTTTATAGTCATAATATATCATTATATAATTTATTATTTTCATTATATATTTATGATATTATATATTTATTTATATATTATAATTGGATACTTTTAATTCTACGCTCCATTCTCACCATAGCATTGTTGTATACATCTGTTTTTTCAGTAGATATTGATGACAAGTTGTTTTCCATGCCTGAACAAACTAACACCAACCACCATAAATAAAATAGATGTGTTGTTTCTAGGAAGCTAATCTTCTCATAATAATTAATTTACTACATGCCTTACAGCTTACTTCATGCAGTGATCCCAATCACATTCTTAGAGACCTTTTCAAACAGCAATGGACGCAATGGACCCTTCTCCTTGCACGCATTTAATTATGTCGCATAAAAACCCATTAATGTATGTCTGAATTTTGACCTTTCTTAAGCGTTTAATGTAAGTCAATTCCTCTGCAAGTCCAAAAAATTGGAACAAGAGCAAACCGCCAGTGGCAAAAGAAAGAGAACCGTTCAAACCATGACGAAAACTTCAAACTTGGATGCCATCCGCCATGCACACAGCTGTACAGCTAAACACGTTTTCATCTTCTTCCTTCTCAAGTAGTATACCAATCTCCACCTATATATAATCCCCCAGCATCACTCTGTTTTTCCACATCCAATCCATTTTCTATAATCACTAACAAGCTGCTTTACTAGCTCTAGCTCACCCAGTTCCTGAAAATGACTTCCTCTTCTGCAATGATTTCTTTCATCTTCCTCCTTTTGTGTTTCACTTATTCTTCTGCTTCAGGGTCATCTCTGAGAGTTGGGTTCTATCAAAAAACTTGCCCAGCAGCTGAGAGAATCGTCAGAAATGCTGTAAAGAAAGCCGTTTCCAGCAATCCTGGCATAGCTGCTGGCCTTATCAGGATGCATTTCCATGACTGCTTCGTTAGAGTATGTACTCAATCTCAATCATCATCTTTTTTACAATCTGTAAATAATCTTTCTGTTTCTAAACTTGGATTAATTGTTGTGGAATGTTGTATTGTTTCAGGGATGTGATGCTTCTGTGCTACTAAAATCCACACCAGGAAATAGAGCAGAATTGGAACATCCTGCCAACAACCCAAGTTTACGAGGTTTCGAGGTGATTGATGAAGCTAAAGCTCAAATTGAGGCTGTCTGTCCAGGAACCGTCTCCTGCGCCGACATTCTTGCTTTTGCTGCCAGGGACAGCTCCTACAAAGTGGGAGGCATAAACTACGCTGTTCCTGCAGGACGCCGTGATGGGCGCGTTTCTATTGAGGAGGAAGTGCCCCAGAATCTTCCTCCTCCGTCCTTCAATGCAGAGCAACTTGCCCAGAATTTTGCGAGGAAAGGAATGTCTGTCGACGAGATGGTGACGCTTTCCGGGGCACATTCCATTGGGGTGTCTCACTGCTCTTCCTTCTCCCAGCGTCTTTACTCCTTCAACGCCACTCATCCTCAGGACCCTTCTTTGGACCCCAGATACGCAGCCTTCTTGAAAACCAAGTGTCCGCCGCCAAATACAGGGGCGAGTGGGGACCCCACGGCGGCGTTGGATATTGCAACGCCTAACCGGCTGGATAACAAGTACTACACTGAGCTGAAGAACAACCGCGGATTGCTGACTTCCGATCAGACATTGATGAACAGCCCTTCTACTACAGGGATGGTTGTGAACAATGCGAGACAGGGTGCTCTGTGGGCCAACAAGTTTGCCAGGGCAATGGTGCATATGGGTTCGCTTGATGTGCTCACAGGCACAGAAGGTGAAATCCGGAGGCATTGCAGTTTCGTGAATTGAGAGAAACCATGCATTTGTTTGCTCTTATATTACTTACTTTCATACACAGAAATGTTTGCCTTCTTTGATTATTTGTATCAACACAAAAAATGCAAGTGTAAATCATTTTTTTACCATTAATGAAGTATTTTTTAAAATTAAATTTGCCCTAAAAGTCTTCAAAGAAAAAAAAAATGTAAAATCCTCGAGAAATAAAAGACATTCGGTGTATTAGATTATTTAGATTATACAACAAATATATGAAACATACATGATTTGATTTTGTTACAATGAGAAATGGTGTTTGAGTTGAACCCTACAACATGAGGATGGAATAGATTTGAGTCATCTGAGCATCACCTCCTTTGAATAGACAAGCATGCAATGAAAAGAGAGGTAATTTTACAAAGTAGAAATTTTGAAGGATGACCAAGTTAGCAAGGCCTCAGAAAAGCATTAGGGAACAATCTGGGTAGAATTGAGTTCTTGGCTTTAACAATCAGTGCATAAATCCCATAACAGGGAATGTGTGCAACACTCAAGGCAAAATACCTGTTAATAGTAATGCCTTTGTTAGACTCTTATGTTTAATTCAAAGTTGAAAGATAAAATGGTGTCCAGGAGTCAGAAACATACCACAAAGGTGCCCAGGGGGTGTTAAGATGCAGGAAATCATATGGCCACCTGAGAAGAGAGAAACTCAATATATGTTACTAGCAATTGAATCAAAATCTTAAAAAGAAATTGGTCAAATTTGTTATGCTTACCATGAAATACAGCAGGCATGAACCACCCACTGGAAAAAAATGTATAAGCAGCTCCACAGAACAAAATATGCAAACCGGAACCAAGGAAATGGCTGTAAATCAACATAATAAGTGGTATCACCAAACATCTGATAGAAAATTTTATATTCTATTGTTCTTTCTCTTGATTGCCTTTTCTAGTAGTGTAATGTACTAGAAGGTTCAACTCTCTTAATGGAACAAAACTTACCATGCTATTGAGGACAGTATCCAGAAGAAGAAAAACAGCATTCAAAGTGTGTGTGCAAACACCTAACTGACAAGAGGAAAACAGAAATCCGAAACAATTTTAGTCTTCCAAACAATATATTTTAAAGTTTCAAAAAAAAAAAGAGTTATAGTTTCTAGCATATATATCAGCACAAGCGGCATTAGTTCGCTATTTCATGGGAGTGTCTTGCTTATCCCATGGACTGTCAACATGCAGAACAAAGCTGCCAAATAAAATATTAAAAGAAGACCACAAGTGGCATTTATAGCCAAAGGCAGGTTGTATTTTCATAATTTGACAAGCATTGTAATTTGTAAAAAAGAAATGATCAAGCAGATGCAACAACTTTCAGAAAAAAAGCCTTAAGGAAATGAAACATAGACTATATGTATAAGAAGTTTAATCTCACCAAGTCCACGGGGCCAGAGGAAAAAGGGACAAGAACACACCAATTTACAATGTCTGTCAATACAACAGCACCTCCACAAGTCTGTAACAAAATTAAAATTAAACAATAAATCAGCTTTAGTCAGACAAGAGATACAGAATTCCTTAAAACAAAGACTAGCAGAAGTTCTTAAAGCGGCAAGCATTTTCCTTGAGGCATGATTCATGCAACATTTAACATTACCAATGATGCTTTCTACGGTTTTTTAGCAATCACGTAGTTAACATGAAAGGAAGAAAAATCACATTAGAGTACAATAACTGAAGTGCTAATAGAACTGAAGTGAGGCACGCATGAGATGTCAACATTGCCATTTACAAATTTGAGAAGGAAACTTGGGCAATCATAATCAGAAGCAACATCACCATATATTATTTGCAAACAAAAAACAAGAGAAAAGATAACATCTTGATGGACCAACCAACCTGGTATAATATTTGCATAAGATATCCCCAAAATCCAGCTCTTTGCTGAATCACCTCTTCAGCGTACTGACTTTGCAACTTGGTTTTACCTCTGACTTCTTTTTCCCCAGAAGTCAAAGAGTCTCCCATCATATCCGCAGCTTCTTCCACATCCCTCTTCATTGCACCATTTACAGAAGGAGATCCATTTGAGCATACCAAACATCCATAAGCAGATATAATAGTTCCCAACTATACAGAAAAAGGATATGTGTAAAGCAGGAACTGCTTTAAAAACAAGTATGGATTCTCCTAAAAGAAAATGTTTTTAAATGGGACTCTAATGCTTGACATACCGCAAAATAGACTGTAACCAATGTAAATGTCCACCTGTCCATATTGGTTTCATAACAAGAACAGCCCATCAGTAGAAACCCATTTCTAAAGTAACACAAGACAATCTAATGTTCTAAATAACATAAAAGTATACAAGTCAAAAGACAACATAAACAAAATTCAGACAATTAGCAAATAAATTAAGGTGATAAAATAATCCAATGGCCCAAAAGATGAGAAAATTGTATCCTCTAGATTCAATTCCCCTGTGGCAACAAAAACAGAAGATGAGAAGATGATCTTACTGAGTGTAGAAATAGAAGCTATCAGCTCCTCCTGAGGCAACAGTCTTAGAAAGAATCAGGGTCGTGCATATGAACGCGAGAGCTCTATAGCAGAGTAACCAGCGAGGATTGAGCTTTCTCCACTGTGATTTCCACAAATCATCCAAGTAAAGCGGCTCTGCTTTCAATTTCTTGATAAAGTACAGTGCTATCGCAAGTGGGGTTACTATAATCAATCCACATAGTGCGGCTTGCCATCTAAGGAAGTACCGAGGATGACCTTCAATGTCAGAATCCGACATTTTCTGAAGGTCTAGAACTGTATGAAAAGAAATGGGATTTCGCTACAGGACAAAAAAGATGGGAACTTTTTATTGTTCTTCTTCCTTTCAAGTTGACTCTCAGTGCGGGTGAGAAGAAGGTGCAGGAGCCCAGAGGTCATCACTGCTGCCAGCCTGCCGCGGTGGGTTTCTCCGGCGGGTCAACTCTACTCAGAGCCATTTTTAAATAGGGGAAATTTGTTGTAGTTGAACCGTGTACGCCACAAAAGAAAAAACTAATAATAAGGGTTTTTTGTATTGAGAATTTAGCAGTGGCCCTTTAGAAATAGGTTAATTTTAATTTTGGATACCAAAATAGTCCTTAAACTTTAAAATAAGTATTAATTTAGTCTTTAAATTTTAAAATAAATATTAATTTAGTCCTTAAACTTTAAAAATAAGTATTAGTTTAGGGCAGAAGGTGCAATTCAGCCCCTCTACGTCCATTGTTGTGGCGCATCAGCCCCTCTACCTAAAAGTAGAGCAAATCAGCCCCTCCACTTGACAAAACCGGCAAGTCAGCCCTTCTGCTGACGATGACCTCATCAAATGTCATCTTTCCGTCCACATCCTTGTTACTCCGTTACCAAAAAGTGGCTTGGTCATCTTTCCGTCCACATCCTTGTTACTCCGTTACCAAAAAGTGGCTTGGTGCTGATATGGCATTGGGTGAGTGATGTGGTCAATTTAAACTGTAAAATTACTAAAGAGTCCTCATCTACTTCCTTTTTTTCCATTCATCTTCTCTCTCCTCCTTCACAGTCTCTCTCTTCGTATTGCAGATTTACTCTTTTTTTTTTTCAATAGTTTAAATTGAAATTTTCTTCAAATAAATCTAAATTTCAAAAATTATTTAAAAAAACCCTCAAAATATGAAAATATAAAAGTTAAAAAAAAATTTCAAAATTAAAATAAAAACTTGTGGCTTTGTTGACATCAAGTAATTTGCTCATTAAGTTTCCATTTCCAATAACCCAAAATCTACCTCACTTTATTTTAAATAAAAATACATGTGATATTTATTTATTTTAAAAACTATCTCAAAAATAGATTTATATATTTTTAATAAAAATACAAACTAAAAAAAATAAAAAAGAAAAAATAATGGATTCATATGTATCCCTTTACTCCTGCTTTATCTTAGTACAAATAAAAAACTTTCTGCAACAAAAAGACATATATAAATTCAAAATTTTTAATTTTTTTTCCTTTTTGTC